GTTATACGCATCAGAGCTCAAATAGAAGACCATGGTCAGGTCGGAGAGGTCATTTGCTGTAATCCAAAGAGCCTCTGGATGGGCGATCAGAGGACATGGAATCCACTTCAGTGCAGCCTCCTGCTGGATTCTGTCCCGTTCACTTCAAGGACACATCTCAGCCAGGTTCTTGTTCACTGAGCTCTTCATTTTCCAACCTCTGAGCAATGCCTACTGGAGACGCCGTCATAAAAACGATAATTACCAGCTCTGTTTGTGTTTGCAGCGCGGGCTCCAGCTGTGAGCAGATGAGCGCTAAGTGAATCTGAAAGCCCACAACGAAGCCGCCTGTGGGGAAGCGTTACTAGGATCTTGCCCTTCGGGGCAAGTTTAGCTAGTTTGCTAATTAACCGGTTCCTGAAGATAAGCACTGAACCACAGCAACACAGAGAAAGTGAGCGTGTGTGTGTGAGAGCAGGACTGGGCTTACAGTAGTGCCACGCTGAGGGGTCCATGCTCGGGATGCGCCCTCTCCTTGCTGGTGCCTCTCCACCCCCTAGCCAGACCCCCCAGTGCAGCTCCGGCGCCAGCTGGTCTCTGATGCCTGCTGCCTTTGGGGCCTCGCTTGCCTGCCCAGAAAGGTGGCCAACCCTCCCAATTTTGCCGGGAGTCTCCTGGAAGTGAGCTCTGCCCCATGGCAGATGTTAAACCTCTACAAGTCCTCTGGCGAAGGCAGACTCCCTGCCTGCCCTGGCCCCGCACTGCGCCCAGACAGCCAGCATGTCCCTGCAGCCAGGGAGTTTCCTCACACTGCCCCCGCCCTGAGTGCAGATTCTGTAGCTCCCATTGGCTAGGAACTATGGCCAATGGGAGCTGCAGGGGTGGAGCCTGCAGGGGGCAGCACGCAGAGCCCCCGACTTCCCACCCCTAGAGGCTGCAGGGACATGCCAGCTGCTTCCAGGAGCAATGCAAGGCCAGGACAGGCGAGGAGCCTGCCTTAGCCCTGTTGCCCCGCCAACCAGGAGCTGCTTGAAATAAATGCCACCTGGCAGCAGCCCCAGCCCGGCCCCCCCCCCCCGCGTCAGCCCCCTACATCGCCTGTCTCCTGGGCCCTGCCAGGGTGTGAGGAGCCGACTCGGAGCCCGTCTGCCAGCCCAGTTGGGGTACCATGGAGGTCGGTCACCAGAGCAAGGAGCCTGGCCAGGGAGGGGCCTGTCCCCATAGGGAGGGAACAGGGCAACCAGGCTATAGTGGGGCAGGACAGGATTTTCCCTAGGCGGCACCGCCCATCTCTTGCTGCCTGGTCCGGCCACTGCGCTCTGTCAGGTGGCCGTCGAAGGGCAAAGCGCAACTCCTCTGTGTGGCTCCAGCTGCCGGCGTGTCCCCCCACGCACTGGCAGAGGCTGGTTCCTGCGGCCAGCCCGCCTGTTAGCCGTCAGCCCTTCCAGTCAAGAACTGGACACCCCACATGGGACTCTGCGCCTAAGGGGCAAGCGGGATTCCCTGCCCTCGGCTGCACTGCCCACTCAGCCCAGCAGACATGGTCGCCTCCTCGCAGGGTGGGCGGAGGTGGCCAGGGGGCTGGGCGTGGAAGAGTGGGTCTCTGAGGGGGTGCTGGGCACTGAGAGAGCAGGGGAGGTTTGTGCATTTTGGAGTACTAGGCAGTGGAGGTGCTGTGTCATTGTGGTGGTAGGGGGCTGTGGGGAAGGGCACCGGGCAGTGGCAGGACTCTGTGGGGTGTGGGGGTTGTGTGTGTGGTGCTGGGCAGTTGTGGTAAGGCTGTGGGGAGTGGCGGAGCTCTGTGGAGCGTAGGGATTGTGTGTGTGGTGCTGGGCAGTTGTGGTAGGGCTGTGGGGAGTGGCGGAGCTCTGTGGGGCATGGGGGTTGTGTGTGTGGTGCTGGGCAGTTGTGGTAGGGCTGTGGGGAGTAGCGGAGCTCTGTGGGGCATAGGGGTTGTGTGTGTGGTGCTGGGTAGTTGTGGTAGGGCTGTGGGGAGTGGCGGGGGTCTGGGGGGGGG